TTTCAGGGCTGGAGTTCGACTTGGCCACGAACCTGGTGGGGCAGCCCCTGGTGAGGCAGCAGGTGATGAAGGGGCTGAGGGGGTTCCTGGAGAACGCGAACCCAGTGAAACCCCTCGTGATGTCCTTCCACGGCTCCACAGGAACAGGCAAAACCTACGTGAGCTCCATGCTCATCCGCTACCTCTTCCAGAGCGGGCTCCAGAGCCCCTATGTTCACCACTTCTCCCCCATCGTACATTTCCCCCACGCTGAACACATAGAGCAGTACAAGGTAAGGGACACTGCTCAACAGTGCCACTTCACTGGGGGGGTTTGGCTCTGTCTGGGTTGATCCTCAGTCCATATGCATTCAAGCTGTTTCCTGAAGTGCAGCAGGAATAAAAAGCTCTTTGTTTTACCCTCTCAGACAAACATAGCTGAGAGAGTGGCTCCATACACTGGCTGAAGGATGCACTAGTAACTGCAATATACTCAGTTATTACTTTCGTCCTCTCCACAGCAGTCCCTGCCCTGATGGTGTTCTCATTCTTAAATATTTACACAGCTCTTTGAACACACAAACAAAAGTGCTTGGCTTAGATAAAAGGCACTAAAATTTTCCCATTGCTTTCCAAACAGCCTGATGGCTATAAAAACCTGCATGTCACTGGACTTGTAATCCCCTCTCACAGAGCACACAGCTCCCTCGCAGCAGCTCCAGACTCTCCATGGTGCCGTTCTGTCTCTTATAGCTGAGACAAGAGAGAAATCAAAATGCCAGATTTTCAGCAGAGTGGGAATTCAGCACACCTGGACCTTTAGTTTCTGGGCATTTGGAGAAGTTATTTGTTGTATTGTGTCCTTAAAGGAAACGCTTTTGGAAAAGTAAATCCTTTCCTGGCTGAAGTGCTTCAGTGAGGAGTTTCACATGCCCCCAGGCAATGTGAGTGGTTTTGTGTGGGCTGGGAGGTACCTTCAGCCATGATAAAGAGCCGTTCTGGGTCAGTGCAGGCACATGTTTCTACATCAGAACAGGAGCTGGCAAGAAGCTGGGAACTGTGGATACAACAGGGAACAAGAAGAACGTGGGGAGCTGTAGGAGTCTGAATCTCCAGCTTTAGTGTGCTGCCTCCTCCTTTAAATCTGTATAAAAAGACCTACAATGGTTTAAAAGAGCTGATAAACACCACTGTGTGGAACCCAGGATAAAGGGGCCTCCCCAGCACTGGGTGTTTCAGCTCCACGTGTGTGATGCTGTAGAGGGACATGCTGCTCTCAGCACCTCTGGCTGTGTTGAGCTCCTGCCTCAGCCTTTTCTGGGGTGTTTGAGCCTTCCTGGCCCTCTCACTGCCTCACACTTGTGGGGTTTTTCCTAGGAGAGCCTGAGGCGCTGGATCCAGGGGAACCTGACCAGCTGTGGACGCTCAGCGTTCCTCTTTGATGAGATGGACAAGATGCACCCAGGCCTGATTGATGTGATCATCCCGTTCCTGGGGCCCTCGTGGGTTGTGTACGGCACCAACTACCGCAAAGCCATCTTCATCTTCATCAGGTGAGAGAGGCCTCTCCATGGGCCCTTCCAGCTCACTGCTGCCCATTTGGGCACAAGTCACACCTACCTCAGGGCACAGGCTTGTTTTGCCTTTCCTTCTCCAAGCCTTGAGCCTCTCCAAATGCCAAGAGATGCAATCTCACAGTGAACAGACAGATCTGGAGAGTGTGAAAAAGCCTCCTCTGCTTGTTATTTGGCTGCCTCTACAGGAGTTATTTTGGGCCAGGCAGCTGGGAGCTGCTGGCTTGCACTCTGCAGGCTGGTGGGTGTCAGGTGCCACCTGAGACACCGTTTTCCTGGCTGCACAGTGGATAAGACTCTCATTCTTGTGCAGCAATGCAGGAGGGGAGCAGATCAACAACGTGACGTTGGCTCTGTGGCACGCTCGCAAGGACCGGGAGGAGATCAGCCTGCAGGACCTGGAGCCAGCCATCTCCAAGGCCGTGTTTGAGAACCCTGAGAGTGAGTCCATGGAGCTGAGCTCCTCCTGTAGCCCCAGAGCCCAGCACAGGCAGCCAGGCCTGTTCTAGGAAGGCACCCACACCACCTGCTACCTCCCAGGCAGCCAGAAAGGGACAGAGGGGTTTTGAGGAACTGGAACTGTGATCCCTTTGAGGTTTCCTTCCTTCTGAGCCAGCAGACCTGTTGCCATATTTAGCAAAGTTCTTGGGAGACAAGGTGTGTTTGCAGCTGGGGGCTGGCAGACAGAACAGCACTGAGCTATATTGATCCCCACTGCCTGCCTGCATCTGCTTGCATTGCCCTTAGCACAGGGAGCAGAGCTTAAATTCTGACTAGACAAGCTAAATCCCTCCATTTTTGGGGGAAGAAACTCTGTTTGTGGGGGGAGGTGACAACTGATGGGTTCAAAACCAGCCAGATCTCTATTCAGCAGGGTATTCTGGCTTCACACAAAGCAGCTCATTGACTTGCAGGGACTGCAGAGCTTCTCTGAAGGTAAAACCTTCTCTCCTTTTCCTTGTGCAGGTGGCTTCTGGAATTCTGGGATCATTAATGAGCATCTCATTGATTTTGTTGTGCCTTTCCTCCCACTGAAGCACCACCACGTGAAGCAGTGTGTTGTCAGTGAGCTCATCCAGCAAGGCCTCGAGGTACGGCCAGATGTGATCCAGGAGGTGGCTGACAGCATCCCCTACTTCCCAGAAGAGGAGAAATTATTCTCATCAACAGGCTGCAAAACTGTGGCCTCTCGCATCAGTTTTTTCTTCTAGTCACTGGCAAGGGCCTCTCTGAGATCCACATGGAGCTGGAAAGCAGCCAGGGCTGGTGGGATGTGCAGTGGGAATGGTGTGTCACTCCCCACAGCACAAGTGCTCTCCTGCTGAGCTCTCTCCAGCTCTAAGGAGTCCACTGCAGGATGCAGCTGCAGGACCAGGTGCAAATTATGTAATTTAAAGCACTTTACTGATTGACTTTTGGCCAGGTAAAGGTGGATCCACCACCTGAGACATGTGTGATGACATGGGGAAGATGCTGAGAGGGTCTGCAGTGTCAGGGAGGTTCTCACCCTGTCAGCAGCACCCCTCCAGAGCTCTCCCCACTTCTGGCAGCTGTTGATACCCAATAGGTTAAGATTCTGAGCCCATATAAGAATAGTTCTTCCTTACAGCATTTTAACAGGTTTTTTTTAACCTTTTTAAGCATAGCTGTGCCTCAGCTCCTTGGCACAATGTACTGGTGCTGACTCCTGTGAACACCTCAACATGGCAACCAAGGTTTCTTTTCAAGGAAGTTTTAGAGCCACCCACATTCCAGTTTCCTTTCACTGTGAATAGGTGCTTGGTAGCTTCAACACCAATGAGAGGGGTAATGTGGGAGAGGGGAACACCTGATCTGCCATGAGCCAGGCTCCCCTACCACCCCGTCATCCATGTTTCCCCTAAGGGCCAAAGGATTTCCCTGTAGCAAACCAGGAAAACAACAACAAAAGACTTCTTGCTTGTTTTACCAGCCGTGAAGGATCTCATCCTACCTCCAGGGGTGCCCACAGTGCTGCTAACGGTTTTGAAAATTCCTTTTATTCACTGATGGTTTCTCCAGCAGAGTTGGTGCTATGAGCTGTGGAGCTCCTTGTACATCCTTGTGCTGGTCAGACCTTGCAGGCTTTGGCTGGGCCAGCAGCCATTCAGCTTCTGGAGTGTCACAGTGGGGACCTGGGGACAAGTTAGAGAAGCTGAGGGCTCCAGACTGCCAAGCAGGGGATGCACAGCCTGGCTTTTCCCCTGATTTTAATGCCCTCTGTGCTGTTATGGAATAAGAGGTCAGAGGAACTAGAGTCATTCACTCTCTAGGAACAACCTGCTCAAGGGATGGGTGTAAGGGCACTTTGCATATCTTCCAAAGCTCTGCTTGTTCCCTGTATGGAAATGAGCTGCCAGTGCTTGGGGACCATGCCAGCTCCAGGCCCTGAGCTTTGGGGATTTTAGACACCACCCAAAGGCTGCCCAAGAGCTGGCCCAAAGACAGAGGCAAAAATTCTGCCTCTTGCAAAAATACGAATTTCTAATTTTAAAATAAATCTTATAAGAATGAAACAGTTTAAGTGTTTACATGAATTCCTGCGGGTAGTGTGGAAGGACTTGGAAGATTTCCAATTTCCAGCACAGCGATGTGCTGCTGGGCTGGGGAACTGTCCCGGTGCCCTGGAACAGAGCTGTGCTCTGCTGGCAGGGTGAGTGGAGACGGAACGGGCACCGACACACAAACCGCAGGGCCCAGTGCTGGGCATTTGCTGCTCCGGCGAGTCCCTCGGGGACCCTCTGCAGAGCTCCTCGCCGTCTGCACAACAACCAC